CCCCAAAACCCCAAAACCCCAAAACCCCAAAACCCCATGAAAATGTGGCAAAATTGAATTTCACTCACTTACTAAATAAAATTATAAAAGACGACTTAAAATTTTGAACACAACGACTGTCAAGACTTCTTATGCCACTCTTGATCTTCAAAAGTTTACAATAATTTATTAACAGCAGCTTGGATAGGTTATCAGTGGCTCTTTCAACTGCGCTTTGCGAGCATGAAAAGACCCCTTAAATGTATCCTTGCTCTCCACTTCGAAGCTAATGATTTTAATTAGGTCTGATTTGAGACTTTTGGTTGTGAGCTCCTGAACCCCATGTCTCACTATCCCCTTTTGATCTGTCTATCAGTTTATCAGCCTCAGGATTCTTCCTCATTTTTCAACACATCGAATCGAATGATGGAGCCCACAAACAAGCGATTATGTAGAAATAGTGGCCAACTATGAGTCCAGTTATCATATCGATGCTGTAATGTCCTCTAAGAAATATCATGAGGAAAATTTGGGAAATAATAGTCAAAAATCCGAAAATTTGCATCGCCCTCATCATCATTTTATGGTTTGAGAGTTCTGTAGCCAATGTTCTGTATTCCAGTGTCATTATGAGTGCTCCTCCAACATGCCCTGAGTAGAAGAAATCATTTGTTTGACCATAAGGCACCACTAGGGATGGGAAACCAGGGTATCTCCACAAGTATCCTTCCGGAAACCTCATTAAGAAAGTCTTCTGTATAAAAAATCTTAAGAAATAGAACATGGCCAGGGTAATTGGAAGTCTCCAGGTTTTACCATGGATCGCAAAAACTACTAAGCCAACAACCATGGTGACATCCATGCATAATCCACAGAAAATCATGAACGCATCTTGCATTATTGGATGTGTAGCGAAATAATCGTTAATTCCTTCTGTTTGAATAAAGAATTCATCCTTAATACACTTTATATCCTCATTTGGGAGAATTCCTGGGGCAAGAGATGCCGCAGCTAGAGCGACTCCGATAACTAGGACCAGGGCAATCCTGAAGATGAATTGACATTTCGAAGAACCCATGCAATCCTCAGGTGTAATAATATCTTCGTCAACAAGTCTCTGTCTAAATCGGAGGTCATCTTCATGAGTCGCATCATAGTTCTTCGCAGGCACGTAGTTATGGTCACTGGATGCATTCATGTTATTCATATCCTGATTGGGACTTCCTGAGTTAAATTGCTCGTCCTTCTTCTCAAACTTATTGTCCATTTCCTTCCAATCTGTCGACTATTATAAATTTCAATTAGAAAAAAGTTAAGGGGTTTTGGGGTTTTGGGGTTTTGGGGTTTTGGGGTTTTGGGG